AGACAAACTGGAAGGTGAGACTATGTTATGAAATTCATGTTTTGGTGGTGGTTAGACATTCCTAAGGTAGATGAGGATCCTTTACTTCTACGTTACGTGTTTTGCCACAAAGTTATCACAGACCCCCAAAGCGAAGTAGAGGAAATGGTTTTTGAGATTTGGGGTTATGAGCTGTCTTTTGAGAAGAAAGATTTTTGTCTGTCACTGGCTTTTGCATTTGGAGATTATTTTTCTACCTCCGGTTCCGACGCCACCTTTCATTCTGGTGTGTTTCCTATGGTCGCGAGGAATGTCTCCGTGGAATTAGACGAAGTGATGAATGTGTTTAAACATTCACTTAATGACTTATCAGACAAGGATACGGCATGTCTATGTATTCTATATCTACTAGAGAAGGGTTTCAATGGGTGGTTGCCTAAACAACATGTGACAGAGGAGTATTTCGCTTTGGTATCCAACCTTGATGAATTCAACATGTATCATATTGTTAATTTATAATTATGAATTATAATTATCATCACTAATATTTTTTAGAAATTTACTTGGGAATTTTTCATGTTGCAAATATCCATAGGGGAAGATAATTTGGGATCAATTGTACTCACAACTATTTACTATATTCAATAACGTTGAGAAACATATACATCCAGTCGAACCAAAAACTAAACAACCTCAGAAAATGACGTACACCCTAAACGGATTTTTACACACTTTTAAGGTAAGGTACATGATTAACGATTTATTATTTTTTTATTTGATAATATTCTAATACATGTTTCTTTCATATATGGATTCTTGAGAGTTTTCCCGTGAGCAATTTGTTTGGTACCCGACAACCGAATGTGATCCCTCGAGATGTTTCATGGTCGAAATTGACTCCTTTACATGCGGCTGAGTGCAACCAATTTATAGATATTAATGACGTATGATTCCTTATATATTTTAAAATTTTCTTCTATATGTATAATTATGTTTATTTATAATTTTATAATTTTTTAGTAGGATAATAGACTTATACATAATTTGGAGCCGACAAAAGCTGAGAGTCGTGCTGAATGGTGGATAGTTTGCTCGAAGTGGATTGATCTCCTTGATTTACCTGGCACATAAATTGACAAGATACCTTCCCTAACACCATCACCCAAACACTCCCCTACCATGAGCCTCAACAAAAGAAGGAATAGATAGATGTTCCATATCACCTGCCACCACCACCACCACCGTCAACTGAACCATCAACTGATAAGGAATGAATTATTACTGACTTGCAAAACGAGGTCCGTGATTTTCAAAACGAGGTATGTGAATGTCGTAGGCAATTGAGATCACATGATAAGGGTTTAGCGGAACATGATGATACTTTAATCATGCTTCTAAAACTTATCCATAAGACTCCCGAAGACGATGTTGGTACCTTGAAGGGGGTGGAGGTACATTGTTAATTATTTCACTCACATATAATTTTTATTTAACTTTATGGTATACCCGTTATTGCATATTTTATAATTAATTGGTATTGAATTGTGCATCCACTTATCATGCAAGATGTTAGTACCACAGACTACAATGACTTATGGGAGCATGATTATGGGTTAGGCACACCCGAAAAACCGCTGAATCACGGCCCTGAGCAGCCATCTTCATGTATTCAGTCATTGGATGTAAAAGAGATTTCGCGGGAAGAATACAAAACACCTACATCACCTCTTAGGCCTTCTCTTTGCTAAAAAGTTATGTCCATATGGTATAAGCCCCAATGGATTCAAATGAAGAGGAAAGGTGTTGCTCGACAACAACCAGCACCGTTGGACAATCTATTAGAACCTACCGTACATAATCTATATAAAGAACGAGATGCTTCACTGTTGTTTGCTCCCCGTTTTTGACCGGTATTCCAACGATTGAGTTTTGGACGCACTTATATGTAGATAGTCACGCAAGCTAGTTGGAATGTGATGTAAGTTATATAATTTTGTGCTCATTACTTGCTACGCTTCTAATAATAATACTTACTTACTTTACTGCAAAATTTTTGATTTGCAGCACATCATGTTTTGGATGTCATAGTTAATAGAGCGTAGATGAGATGATGCTCGGTGGACGGTTGTGCCGTCTACTTTCAAAACTGATGCATTTGATTGGAGTGACATGTCTGACAGATCTGTTTACCCAGCTTGGTCGAAGTGTGATTCTATATAATTGTGTTTGGATTGCATTACCTAAGTAATAGTAATTAATAATATAATGTTGTTTGATGATTAATTAATTCCAACCTTTTGTGTAGCTTTACATCCCAATCAATATACCAGTTGCTTACTGGTTTTTGGGTGTTTTGGATTTGAAGACATTCAAAATGACTATAAATGATAGTCACTGGAAGAACGACTATTGTTTAGAAGATGAGAATTGGTTTATAGGTATGTGAGCCCGCATCCACATACTGCTAGTGGGTATCAACTACTGGGGGCACCGAACCAATTGATGCAATCCCAGTTAAGAGTTCCAACATGACCATCGAAAAGACTCCGGACGTACCATAACAGATTGACAGTAAAATAGATTGTGGGGTGATTTTGTGTTGGTTCCTGGAGATGTTGATCGCCGGAAAATCGTATTTTATAGAGGATAAAAGCGGTCCATGGGCTATGTCATATCGTGAACGATTGACGAAATTTTTTTGGGGTATGAGGACAAAGTCCATTTGAACATTGTACTATTATTTTAAAAAAAATTTAAGTTTATCAATTTATAGTTTTTTGTAGATTTTAAGATTCCATGCACTAGATTTTATAAAAAGAAATATTATAAGAAATCACCAAAACACATATTATAGATAAAAAAATGACTATTTCAGAATGATTGTCCGGAAATCTAGTTTGATATTCCGGAGATCGCTCCAGAATGACCTATTCCGGACAAAATGGTTATGTTACAAAAACAAAAAAATTGGGTTATTTTCTTCAAAGACTTCATTTATATGGGTTAGAATATTAAATTTCCCTAATATTTATTGGTAGTATTAAATTAAAACAATGTTTTAAAAGTTTTCGACTATATCAGATAATATCAAAATACAATTTGATGGATTTTTTTTATTGTTAGTCGGTTAATGCCCAAAACATGACAAAAAAACGTAAATTTCCATAATCTTTTAGTTTTTATCCACGATTATTCTAACCACTTAAATGTATTACACCTAATTAGTGTATAAAATCAAAAAATTTTCTTGAAAAATTGCAACTTTAAACACTTCGAAATTGACATTGCGGACATAAATAGAGATATTCTTCAAAAAAATGGAAAAAAAAACCAAAAAATAACTCCGAAATTTGAAGATTAAATCCGGAATAGAGCATTCGGGAGTAAGAACTCTGAACTCCGGAATATGAACAATAGTCCGGAGTGAGACATTCCGAAGAAAATTGTTATTTTTCAAAAAATGAAAAAATATGGTTATAAAAACTTATTTATATAAGTTAGTTTACTTAATTTCCCTTAATTCATTCGGTATATACTTAATTTCCCTTAACTCATTCTATATATTTAATTCATTGAAAAAAAAAACTAATAAATATTCAACATTGCCATTTTTCTATCTAATATATCTAGTTACACTAATTTCTCACAATGAAATCTACATTTTGATAATTTAATGTGTCCATAAACATGGTTTTGTTTAAGTAAATTCTCATTTTATTAGAATTTGACAATCTTAGACGAATTAAAATTTAGATAGTAAATTTTGCAAAGCAGTTAATGTTGATCTATCTAAATTTCCTCCTCCAGTATTTGTGTTGATCATGAGAGTATGTAAAAGTGAAACAACATTTTTATTCTATGGATGGTCAATCGCACAAATCTTGTGACTCACTCATGCTTCTTGTGGAAATGTTAAATGGCACCACCATCACCATCACCATCACCATCACCACACCACACCACCACCACCATAAATGTCGACTATTTATTTCACACACTTTTATCATGAATCTTATATAAGGAGGCGTAACATGATAACAAAAAGTCTGAAAATAAGAAATGAGATGATGTATTCTTCAAGTAAAGCCTTTTCTAATGTTAAAAAAAGTTTACAAAAATTGTTTTTTTATAATCAATACTTTTACGCCTACATGCAACAAATGTATTCATTCGATTTGAGGTAGGTTCCCACCCTGTAATAATGGTGAATGCCAATACAAAGCCAAAAGAGGCTGTCATAATATAATTACACACACACATATGCCATCACTACTTGCCCTTTTGAATACTATTTCGCTCATGACCTTTGCTGGCCCTTTAAGCTAAGCAAACCCCCATATTGGTTTTCACTTTTACCCTCCTTCAACTAAAATTATAAAATCATGTCAATTATCAATACCCATTACTTCAATACAAATAATTAACTTGTCTAAACATTGATTACATTCAAAATCCCTCAAGGTCTTTTTCAATTAAATACATTCACCAAGTACTTGTTTCCTTTTGACTTAATAAACTTAATTTGATACGACTTAATCCCGATACATATACATGACAAAGACATTTCCTATTTTACTTTAAGTGAGTGAATCGTGCATTTATCTATTCTTATGTGTTCTTTTACCTCCATACTCTTTTATAAAACCCTCCCTTGGTTTATCTTTCTACACTCCCCACATTAGTGAATATAGTTATATAAAATAGTCATTACTACTCATATTTTGACAGCTCATTCTGTACCAAAACAAACAATATTCGTTTGTCCACTTAGCAGTTTATCCATATATCACTTAATATAGAAAAAATTCCCTAAATAACCATGAGGTATATAAGTAAATAAGTAACATATACATAGTGCCACTTGTTATGATGGACGAAATAGAAACCATCATTATGCTCCCTTTTGAGGAGTTTAATGCAATCACAAAAATTGAGGCCAAAGCAACAACCAATAAACTAAGACCACCTCTATATATAAGCACTACCCGCATCATTCTTTAAGCATAAAAAAGAAAATCAAAATGGCACAAACGCACTTCCTACTTCTTCTCTTTGTTACTATCATCTCCTTCACTACAACACAATCTCAAGAAAGATCACCTCATGGCCTTGTTTACGAGAACCCAATGGCATTCTCACCATCTGCCTACAATTTCTTCCACCCAAAAGCAAACCCACCAACAATTCAAGACCCATGTGATGAATCCAGTTGCGCACCATTGCCCATGGCTGCAACTGTTCAATCGAGCTTAGCACAAGAAAGTGTAGCAAGAAACGTGAAAAGTGGAAGCAAAATTGGTGCTGGAGGTGTTGCTGCTTTGATATTTGGGTTTATATTTTTGGTTCTTGTAGCTATGGGTGCTTATTTTGTGGTTACAAACCGTAGAACCAACATGGGTCGAAACAATATGGTTTTACCATCGGTTTGATGTGGCATTTAATTTATTAGATTCTTCTCTTTTAGTCTACTTTTGAAATTTGGAGTACGAGAATTTGAGATGTAACATTCTTATTGGTAATTAATGCATGTGATTCTGTATTACAATATATCTATGATTTGATTCATCCTAAAAGTTTGTAATTATAGGAAGTAAAACAGCAAAAGGTAATATAGAAATGTAGTGCAGAGTTAACTTGGGTCAGCATGTTAGTTTGGCTGTTCAGGAATTTATTTGACTTGATCAATAATTGCATAAATGTCAACATTTTAGCTTAATACAGGAGTCTCAAACTTCATATGTTGTATAGGTAAAAAGTTCTGGCATCAATTAGTAGAGATCTTTACAATTAAATAACCAGTTTTACATTAAGAAGCTAGGGAAATTTTGATCTATTAACCCCCTCCCCCTCCCTCGTCTTAGGACAATCTCATATATGATTTAAAAAAAATGGATAATGTTGTAGATAATATATATAACAGAGTAAATGCAAAATAAACTTTTGACGCTAGTTAGTTATAATTAACTGCTAGAGTAAGCTTTGATCCTATATGGTAGACTATTTCCGGTAGACTGTCTTTGCAAACTTAAATCTCCAACACACTATTGAAATAGAAGTTTCTAGGCTAATAGGAAGCAAATCTGAAGCTAAAATTAAAAATTTAGACAGAAGGACTAAGGTGTCAAATTTTGTGAAAATAGGATTGACCTTGCCTTGACTTGGTTTAGGGATCAAAGTGAGTTAAGACTAGTTAGGTGTAGACCTGTCAATGGGGCGGGTTTGGAGCGAATCACCATTGATCCAAACCCGTATAAAAAAATAAAAACATGACCCGCCCCGCTCCAATAACCCTCAGGGTCTTGAATAGTCGAATCCATACCCGTATCCACCGAATCAACGAATACCCGACCCATTAACCCGACCCTTTTATAATATTAAATTTTCGTAATTTTTATGTGTTCCACAAAGTAATATTTCTCAAAAGGATAAAATGTCTACTTAAACAAGATGTACATTAATTAATACTCAAAGTCCAATACAATAAAAATCACATTTTACTTAGACATCGAGTTGTATATTTTGTTGTCATATATATATATATATATATATATATATTATATATATAATATATATATATATATATATATATATATATATATTAAATGGGGCGGGTTATAAGTGGAGCGAATCGACCATGATCCATACCCGACCCATTTGCTAAAAGGGTAAATGGGTATGGATCGTAAACGGGTAAACGAATCAAAAATTAAAATCCAAACCCGTTAAATTCTTATGGGTTTGGAGCGAATCAGGGTCAAAACCCGCCCCATTGACAGGTCTAGTTAGGTGGGGGTTAAATAGCAATGACAAAATTGCAAAAATGGTCCCTGTGGTTGGTAAAGTTCTACGGTTTTGATCCAAAAAAGTTTGGCGATGCATTGGTGGTCCAATTTCGGATACCTTGTGTGGTTTTGGTCCCTATGGTTGACATTTTTGTGTGATTTTGGTCCATACTTCATATCCAACTTGAAATGACCAACATGCCCCTAAAAAGGTTTTTCTTTTTTTCTTTTTTTTTTAATTTTTTTTTTATTTATTTTAATTAAAAAAACAAAAATAAATCCAATTCCACTCCCTTCTTGAGTCAGCATCTTCTCCACCTCAACCTTACCCGGAAACCCATCATCATCAACCTTGCTGCACCATCTCAACAATCGAGATCTACATCAATGCGATTATTTACCATCTTCACGCTTCATCATCATCTCCATCAGATACCGGTGCAATTGGTAATGAAGGTTAAACCGATTTCCCTAAAAATCGGAACCTAGGGCATGGGTTGAATGCATACTCGACAATGGTAATGAAGTTTATACCGATTTCCCCAAAATCGGAGTTTGGCACCGACGATGATGGTCTGAGGGAAGTCTAGCTTGTCTTGCCTCTCATTCACCCTCTCATCTCTATCATCTCTATAACATCCAATAACCATGTCTCATCTTCGCCTACTGTGACAACCCGTAAATTTCTATCTTGTAAAGTCAATCAAATCAATCAAAAGTCAGAATTGTTTCTGTTATCTTTTTGACTGTGTTAAGGGTCATATATAGGTTTCTAAGCCTTGTACATTTAAGGATTGTGTGTTATGAAGTATTAGCTCGAGATCAGAAGGCTGCACCCGAACCAGGAAACCCAACATATGAGGTTCACGACCGCAAACCCTGTTCACGGCCGTGAACTCTCTCTTGGCCGTGATCTCTTCCCTATAAGTATGAGATTGCTTCATTTTTCCTTCATTTCTTCTTCTTCCAACCGTGAACTTGAGTTCTCTCTCAAGTATCATCCACAAAAGGGCCTTCTATCACCTCAAAAACGTAAGTAACTCACCCCTCTTCTTGTTGTTACTTGAAAGCCCTTTACCCTCCATCTTAATTCATCATCTTTTCATATTGAAATTCAAGATCTTCAAGCTTAGGGTCGTGAACCTTCAAGTGGGCCATGAACACTTCATGTGTTCTTGGGTCGTGATCACACCTTAGGGCCGTGAACCCTCATTCAACCTCCTAACTTGCTTCTAACACTTCTTTGGTGAGTTTTTCTTACATCCTTGGTTGATTCCCTATCACCTTTGTGGTTATGATCACTAATAGCATGCCTATATGTATCATTATATGTTATTTAGGACTCGTTTGTGCTTCGGGACTTCACTCGTGAAACTTATCATCCTATATCATATCTTCAATCGAATCACCAACATAAGGTGAGTTCATACCCCTATAATCTACCTTTTAAATGATTTTAAATGCTTTTTAGGGGGGGGGGGGAATACAAGTTGAACACAAGCTAATTGTGTTAATAATTACATGTGATATCAATCACATAAAAGATTTTCTTATGCTTTTAATTGTTATTTTTACAATAAAGGATTACTAAATACTTCCATAATAACTTAAAGTCATGTTAACTCTTTTAAAAGTCATATAAACTGTTTTTAGAATACCGTTAAACTCTTTTAAATGTTTTTATAACTCTTTAAACTTATAATTGTCAAAATCACGTTTATATATATATATATATATATATATATATATATCTATATATATATATATATATATATATAGGTATATAAATAAGACTTAAAGGGCTTAGGACTAATGAATTGCCTTATTTCCTTTTCCTTGTTTGGATGTGGGCTTAAGGTAGTGTTATTTGTCTGAAGGTCGTTTCCTCCTTAATTATATATATATATATATATATATATATATATATATATATATATATATTATACATATATGAATATAAAAGGTTACTTCAGTCCGTATCATTATCTTTGTATCACGCTGAGCAAAGGGGTACACTCATGAGAGATCATGCTAATAAGATAGAACGTATAAATTATAATAGGTATAATTTATGAAACAAATGAGAAATCTATTTTCTATATAAGTATACGAGGTTTAAACTACTTTGTCAAGAAAATGATATAATTCGATCTTACTTAAACCAAAATGTGATGGTACGATTTCAGGATATAGCAATATACTTGCTATGTCATACTCTTGTAACCAGAGTCTCCTGGAGGGAGAGCGGACATTGTGTTTATAGATCTATATTGGACCGACAATCCCACATCCCGACTGTTAGCTAGAGTTTGGCCGGCAGGCCAAGGGGTGACAAATGTCACATATTCAGTTTCGACGCCGGAAGGTCGTCGTGTTTATTCCAGTCTATCAACATGGTTACAACTTTATCACATTTTAACCCTAATTAACCACTTTAATTATAGGGTAGTTATTACACCGATAGTGTATTTTTAAGAAATACTACTGTATTAATCATTTTCCACAAACGAAACAGAACGGTTTTATGGGATTAAAACTACTTTACAGAACGGTTTTATGGGATAAAAACTACTTTTCACAAACAAAACAGAAAACATTCTTCTTATAATTTTATGGAGAGTTAAAATTATGTTAAACTATATTATAAGTACAATAATACTTAAACATAACGGTTTTATGGGATTAAAACTACTTTTCAGTGGTAAAGCAGAAAATATAGGATTTTATGGAACTTAATCAATCACTTTCTTAAAACTAAAGCAACAATAACTAATACTTATGAACTCACCAGCTTAAATGCTGATCTACTCTTTCAAAATAACTTGTATTCTCTGGAATCCAGTAGACATGTACACTCCCGGAGCTTTTGAGAAGACAATCTAGTACCGTGCTGCGTCTTTTGTCTTTTACTATATCTACTTTTGATGTTTGAATATGTAATGTTTAAACACTTATGTAAAAACTTATACATTATTAATGCAATGGTTGTTTGTACTTTGATTATTATAATGCATGTGTTGTGATACTTGACATGACGTCCTCCGCCCCCGAACGTTTCCGCTGTTCCGGTTTGGGGGGTGTGACACCTACCTTATTTATTCTTGAATGGTGGCTTCTATGACCCTCGATTACTACCTTCCTGCGTTCCATAGGGATGTTTCCTAAGTTATTATTGTAATCCCAGGTCCGACTGCCTTCTTTATCCCCTCATCTTTTCTTGATTTTGAGTTTCACACTAACTATTGACTTAAGAACCTTCCCGTTTTTCATTAGATTTGTCTTGAGGCAAAAATCAAATGCAAATTTTTACAGATTCTGATGAAAGTTGACAACAACAATCTAGTTAGAGAAGATGATGATGGGACGAGGCAGGAGTTGGATGCATCCTAAGCGGAGAAGAGGACTAGACGAAAGCCAGTGGTGGCCGTTTTATCGGGTCTGAGGAAGGAAAGATAGGGGGGTTGAGGGTGGGATTGGATGTTTGTGGTGGGGTGTGGTGGCAGTCGATGGTGATGGTGGTAGCAGTCAATAGTGGCAGTTGGTGGTGATGGTGGCAAGCATTAGGGGTGATATGTTTCTTGAGTGTGTGTGTATGTGTGTGTGTGTTTGTTGAGAGAGATGGAAAGAGAAATGGGTTGGGTGAGCAT